TGTACTAAATGGCACAGTAAGTTGTACAGATAGGATTCAAACTCCACAGCTTTTAACAACTACTTACGCATAGTCTCTTCAATTGAGTTATACTTTCCTTGAAAAGCAATTCCTTAGTCACCTTTTATATTCAAATAAAAAGTAATCATGAAATAATTATCACAGCAAATAAATCATTACATATTTTAATTATTTTGGGGATATGTAGGTAATATGAACATATAGTCAAAATTTTAAATATACCGAGAAATGAAGCCTTTTCCCCACCTTATCCTCTATTCTCCTGCTCCACACCTCTCCATGGAGGCAAACACTGGTAGACTCTGAGTGTAATCCTGAAATGATATTCATTGTATATGCTAATGTGTGTATATGTATTCTGATTTCTTTTAGTATGTTGTCTTTGATTTTGTATATAGTGGTTTTTTGTTTTGTTTTGGGCTGAGAAGAAGTTTATTTTAATGTAGTTAAAATACATTAGTCTTTCCTGGGAGTTTGTGTCATATTTAGATAGACCTTCCATACTCAAATTTTCAATGGTTTCCTATTTTCTTCTAGTATTTTTGTGGATTCCTCTTTTATATTTCAATGTGTTCAATATGTACTTTATTTTGGCATAGGAAGTTAGATATGCATACCACTTAATTTTTCCCCCCAGATAACTTCCCAGTTCTAATACCATACTTATGCCACATATTTAATATTGTTTTCTATCTTCACTGATATGCAATACCAGCTTTATCATACTAAACATCAAAATATATTTAGATATTTGATAATATTTCTTGATAATATTGATAATATTTATTATCAATATCTTGATAATATTTATCCAGCTCCTATGGATCAGTATCATATTGTTTAAAATATTATGGATTTGTAATATGCTTTCATATTTGACAGATATTCTTGTCCTCATTCTTCTTCTTGTTTAGAATTTTCCAAGATGATTTTCTCTTTTTTTATTTGAGTTTTAGAAACAGCTAATCTAATTCTTTAAAAAGGGAAGAAAATAAGACGAAGAAAAGAAGAAAACTCTTTTATAGTTTTATTGGAACATTAATACAGTTCCAAATTATGGAAATCACTGATATTTTTATTGATTCCTTTTATTTAGAAATAGAGCGTGCTTTTCATTTTTCTAATTCTTATTTTATAACCCTAAAGTATTGTTTGGAATTTTTAATGATATTGATTCTGTCTATTGCTTATTGCTTATTAAATTTTTCCTTAGAGATGTTTTATCTAGTTGTATGTGTGTGGTTGAAATTATAAGTGTGATGGCTATTATATTGAAAACTAGAGGCCCAATGCATGAAATTCGTGCAAGGGCCTTGGCCCCAGCCCCTGCCCGCTGCCACTGCGGCTGGGAGCCTCTGCTGCCTCTGCCTCAGCCCCTGCCTGCTGCGGCTTTGTCGGAAGGAAGGACATCCAGAAGAACTTTCAGTCTAATTAGCATATTACCCTTTTATTATTGTAGATGGTTATTAATTTCTTATTAGTAATTTTTATACAACCACCTTATCAATAGCTACTTTCTGATTGGTTATTTATTTATCTTTACATATTATCCTTGCCAAAGTCATTTAATTTTGCATTTGGAAGTTTTGAGAGATATTAGAAGTGTAAACTCAAAAGACTTATTTCCAGCCCAATTCAATTCCATATCAACAAATCATTACTGAGTGTTAAATATTCTTATGCTAGGTGCAGTAGCCATAAAAATAAGTTTAGCATCTAATGAGATGCATACCACACGTATAGCAATACAAGGTTTCTATAAATGCTATGAAAAAGGCTGAGCTGTGGCCTCGAAGTTTTAGGTTTTGTTTTGGAGGAAGTAGGAATCATGAAATAGGACATTCAGGTTGTATAGAATTTTGATGGAGATGCAAGAGTATGTATGAAGGCAACCCAGGCAGAAGGCGGTACATATAAAAAGAGAAACACAGTCTGAGAGTACTCTATAGTGCACATTAAGGGGATGTTATGTGATTCCATGAGAGAAAACACAGCAAAGGTGGGAAGGGACAATTTTGTTTACATTCATTATGGTGGGAGATAGGGAGTCATTGAAGGCTTTTGATCAGGTAAATGTCATCATCAGAGCTACATTATAGGAAGATTAATCTGTCAGCACAGTGAATGGTTTGGAGCAGGAAGTGACTGGAGTGGAGGGAGAGATCGGTCAGCAGGCAGTGTAGACAAGCAGTCTGGACAAGAAATAAGGGAGCCTCCTTTAGCATGTTGGCAGTGGAAATAGGAGGAATAAAATAAAAGTGGTAGTGTGAAGATAGTTCTAACAACAAGCTTTAACAACTGATTAGATGAATGGGTAAGGAGAATGAGGAAGACTGTGACTTTAATTGGCTGATGATCTGATGATTTGATTGGCAATAACTGGTAAGTCAGAGAGAGGAACTATTAAAGAAGAGAGAAAAGGCCACAAATCTGGGTTTGATATATTCACTTCGTTTGTTTTTTTTTATTTGTTTGTTTTAAATATATTTTATTGATTTTTTTTTTATAGAGAGAAAGGGAGAGGGATAGAGAGAGAGTTAGAAACATCAGTTAGACAGAAACATCGATCAGCAGCCTCCTACACAGCTCCTACTGGTGTGTACATGCCCTTGACCAGAATTGAACCTGGGACCTTTCAGTCCACAGGCCGACGCTCTATTCATTGAGCCAAACCAGTTAGGGCGATATATTCACCTTGTTGTCCTAATTAATTATTTACTGAGTATGTAATGGACAATGTGGGAACTATACTTAATAATACTACACTGTTATATTTGAAAGTTGCTAAGAGAATAAATCATAAAAGATCTCATCACAAGAAAAAAAATTGTGTAACTACATGTGGTGATGGATGCTGACTAGGCTTATTGTGGTGATCATTTTGCAATATACCCAATTGTGATGTCTTACACCTGAAATTAATATAATGATACTAGAGGCCCGGTGCAAAAAAATTTGTGCACTCGGGAGGGGGGCTGGGAAGTCCCTCAGCCTGGCCTGTGCCCATTCACAGTCCAGGACCCCTTGGCAGATGTCCACCTGTTGACTTAGGCCTACTCCCCAGGGGATCAGGCCTAAGCTTGCAGTCAGACACCCTTCTGGCAGCCAGGGAGCCCTCGGAGGATGTCCGACTAAAGGCTTAGGCCCCCAAGGGATCGGGCCTAAACCGTTAGTTGGACATTCTTAGTGCTGCCACGGAGGTGGGAGAGGCTCCTGCCACCACCACTGTGCTGGCCAGCAATGAGCCAGCTTCTGGCTGAGTGGCACTCCCCATATGGAAGTGCACTGACCACCAGGAGGCAGCTCCTGCATTGAGCATCTGCCCCCTGGTGGCCAGTGTGCATCAGAGCCACTGATCATTCTGCCGTTCAGTCAATTTGCATATTAGCCTTTTATTATTATTATATAGGATGTCCCTATTTCCCCCCTTTTGCCCCCTCTACTCAGCTCTTGCCCCCCACTTCTCTCTGGCCATTACCATACTGTTGTCTGTGTCTATGGGTTGTGCATATATTTTCTTTGGCTAATCCCTTCTTTAAATTCACTTCTTTAAATTTTTATTTTCAGATAAGTGCTTATAACTGCACCATTATATATTTTCTATTATATAATTTAGAAGTAAGATATTTTTTAATTGAACCCTTGTAAATTTTAGCACAATTTAATAAATTATGCTAGAAGCAATTAGGAGATTTTT